CGTGGCCCCGGCCTGTGCCCAGCCTCCTGCCGGCCCAGCTGCGGGGTCTGTGTCTGCCGGGGCCGCCTTGGGTGGGGGCGTCTGGGCGGGGCCCTGGGCAGCTGGCGGCCTGGCCCTTGCGCAGGGGATGTCGGGGCCTCCGGCGCTGCGCTGGCTGTGGGCCAGAGGGAGGGGCCAGCGCGTGCATGCGTGGCCGGGGCTGCGTGGCCGGGGCTGCGGTGGCCGGGGCTGGGTGGCCGGGCAGGGCTGCAGAGGGCCGTGACGTCTGGGGTCACAGAGGAGGTGGTGACCGCCAGGGGGCGCCCCAGGCAGTGGTCGGGTCAGTGGGGGGGCACGGACTCCAGCCCAGCTGGGCCCTTACCTCTGCGTCACCTGGCCTGTCTGGGCCCTCGTGGCCACTGCTGCCCCGTGTGGTCAGGCTGACGTGGTCAGGCTGAGTGGTCAGGGAAGCGCAGCTCCTGCCAGTGGGCACTGTCCTTGGGGTCTGCCCCCGGCAGAGATGGCGGCAGCAGGGAAGACACAGCCTGTTTACCGGCCGGCCCCCGGAGTGGCCGCCCGGGGGGTCAGCGGGCGGACGGGTGGCGGGAGCTGGCGGGGAGCCCCGTGGCCGGGCGTGGTCCCTGGCGCCGCCGGCCGCTGCTGGTCAAATATTTGCACAGCCGGCTGCTCCCGTGCTGTGCTGCTTTGGGCCCGGGCCCCGCCCCCGCCCCACTGGACTTGTCGGCCGCCGGACAGCGGGGGCGTTCACTGACCCGCGGTGCGTCCCCAGAGTCCCTGCGGGGGCTCAGGAAGCTCAGGCCGGCCCCAGGGAGCACCAGGGCAGGCGGGCGCAGGGCCGGGGCCTCACAGCGGGCTCGGAGTCCTCTCGCTGTCCCAGGGCCAGTCTCGCTGAGCCCTGAGGGCCAGGCCTTGGGCTGGGCCCCTTGTGGGGCTGACCCCTGGAGCACCGTCAGGCTCTGGCCCTGGGCAGTTTGGCTGTTGCCCAAGGCTGGCCTGGCCCTCCTGCCTGCTGTGACCCCCCTGTCTGCACCCGCCTGTCCACCCACCTACTGCCTGTCCATCTGTCTGTCCACCCTGCAGCCCCTCCCTGGTGGAGGGGAGCGTGCTGGGGGTGGGGCATGGGCAGGGGACCAGTGGGGGTGTGTGGGGGGCCGGCAGGGCGCAGGGCTGTGCTCCTTGGGACCTGCGGGAAGGGGCTGCGGCTGCAGCCACGGGCCACGGCGCTTCCCCCGGGCTGTGATGGGCGCTGGGTGTCCGGGGAGCCAGCCGGGGCGTGAGGGCGTCGCTGGTGTCTCCCTTGGGAGCGCCAGGGAGGCGGCGCAGAGCCCACCCCCGGCTGGCTCGCAGGGCTGCGGTGCCGGCCGGGCCTGTGCCTTCCCGGGGTCAGCGGGTCCACGTGTGCCGCCCGTGTGACGGTCACCTGTCGGCCAGGCCGGGGGACACGCCCAGGCCCGGAGGCGCTGCCCGGCCCCCCCTGCATGCCGGCGGCCCCGAGGCCCCGCCTCCGCCTTGGCGAGGGTCACTGGGCCTGGGCACCGCCCAGGTGTGGCCCGACGCCCCCGAGAGGGGGCAAAGCCCGGCAGCCTCCGTCCACGCTCGGCGGCGCTGCCCGTGGCCCCGCGGGTGACCCCTCGCGTGAGGCGGCGCTGGGGCGCTGGCTAAAAATGGCAGGTCGCACCCCGCGGC